TTTCAAAAAGTGATCTCAGGAATAACGCTTTTCACACTGGAAAGCTCTTAGTCAAGTTAGATAAAGACAGAATTGCCATGGGGTCTTCCAGTGAACTACCATACTGGCCAAATAATGATAATTCTTGGGGAATGTGTCCTTGAATAAGCTCCAACCCTGTTCTGGCCCCTCCAGTGTCTGCCAGGCTGCAGGTTTTCATGATGACTGTGGGTTGTTGATTTTCAAGAAACCATGGATTTGGGGAGTGGGGGATGAAAATAGGACAAGTTAGCGTGTCACAAAGATACTGTTCTTACCAAGATTCAGCCATTTTTAATAAATAACATTCCCTGGATTGCTGTAAGCTTTTGGTTAATTCCACAGTTCTGAAAACACTGATTCTGACAATATGGACAGTTTTCTCATTGTTTTTAATGGAGAATAAGAATTTCTGGATGTTCTTACTCAGCCATTTTTGCTGACATTATCCCAGGTAACTTGCAAAATTAGTTTTGAGACCACATGCCCTCAGGCTAAAGAAAAAAGAACTCTAAACATAAATTAAACTTTGGTCAGTAGACTTGTATTTTGCAAAGGTATCAGTCAGCAATTCTGAAGTTAACTTCTGCATACTCTGGGGTTGAGAAAATAAGTAAATATATTGTGGAAAATAAGAAACCACCTTCCTCACTATTACAGAAAGGATTTACATGCCAAAAGGACAGAGGAGACAGCTTGAGGGGGCTTCCACTAACCAAATTAATTTGAGCATCAAAATAAAGAACTTGTATTTCCCACCACTGTAAAATAACAGGGATTAGATTTGTTCTTCTATATTAAACAACTAGAAAACTGGACAAAGTGGATGAAACAAAGGTTTCAGACAATGGACAAAAAGCAGTACAGGATATTAATACCTGAGAGAAAGAACTCAAATGAGTTGAGTGCTATAAGTACACCAGCTCACTGTTTGAAGAGTTTCCAAATTACAGTGCAGAGGGAAGGAAATCCAAAATAGCCCAATGGCCTTTCTGAAGAGACAGTTCAAAGTTTAGATAGGTTAATGTGACTAGTACTTGTGAGGTAAAATAATAGAGGGGAGGGCTTCCCTGGTGGCACAGTGGTTGAGAGTCTGCCTGCCGATGCAGGGGATGAGGGTTCGTGCCCTGGTCCGGGAAGATCCCACATGCCGCAGAGCGGCTGGGCCTGTGAGCCATGGCCGCTGAGCCTGCGCGTCCGGAGCCTGTGCTCCGCAACTGGAGAGGCCATAACAGTGAGAGGCCCGCGTACCACAAAAAAAAAAAAAAAAAAATAGAGAAGGAGATGCACAGAAGAGGTAAAAGTGCTCTGTACAATGGTCCCCTCAAGTCAATTGTCTTATACTGATCTGTGCAATGTATATAAAGAATCTAACAAGGCCAGGGGGAAAAAGTCACTAGAAAAGAGTTAGTGGAAACATCCTAGGAGCTAACACAGGTCCAGGTATAGTTTGTGTTCTCACCAGACACAACAGAAAAATTTCCTAACAAAGAATTAGGCAGAGTTCTTACAATTGTAATGCCTCAGTAGTGGCGCCAAATGAGTCCTAGACCAAGATTTCACAACCTTAGTACTACTGAAATTCTGGGCATGATAATTCTTTGTTGTATATATTGTAGAATATTGAGCAGCATCTCTGGCCTCTATCCACTAGATGCAACATCCTTCTCCCCAGCTGTGACACTGAAAATATCTCTAGACATTGCCAAATATACCTTGTAGGTAAAAACTGTCCCAAGTTGGGAATTGCTCCAGACAAGATCATTAAAACAGCTATGAATGTTCTGTATGTTCCAGGAAGCAGAGAAATACATGGACATGATACAAAGACAAGTGGAATATTACAGCAAAATCAGTAACAATGTACTATACGGTTAAATGTAGAAGCAAAAAGTATATAAACAATAGTACAAAAGCTGGGGGAAAAAACTGAAGTGTATTGTAGTAAGGTACTTGGACCATATGTAAAGTGATATAAATACTACCTGAGGTTACGCTGTGATAAATTAAAGATGTATACTACAGTAAACCTCATAAGCCAATAATAGATAAAATGAAGTAATAAAAAATACCTTAATAATAAAAAATAAATAGAAAAGTAGAAAAAAGAGGTCCCCATGAGATAATACTGAAATACATTTAAAAACTCAATAAACAGGAGAAAATGGAAGACTCTTCCTTATTCTAAAAAACCATCTAAAAAGTGTAGAAAAAAGATGAAATAAAAAAAATCATCATTTACAGTTACTATAGCAATAGTTGTTTCAGGTAAGAATTATGAATGAATGTTAAAACTAGTGCATGAAAGTTTCAGGACAGAATTAAACATAGTCTCAAAGTATCTCCTCACAAGATAATTATTAATTATAAAGAGAAAAACAGTAACTTTGCAGTGGAGAAACCTTATAGATACCACTTGAAACAAGTAAGCAAAGTTAATACTACCAGTAATGAGCCAGCAATATCAACATCATCACCTAACTCCAGATATGATGCACTAGGACAAATACAACATTCCTTCTCTAACACTCCTGCCAAAAGTGCAGAGCTTGAATTTGATAATGGGAATATTAGACAAACCCAAATAAAGGGACACTGCAAAACAGATCTGTACTTTTGAAAAATGTCAATGCCATGAAATCCTCAGACTGAGGTACTGTTCTCAACCAAAGAGAGATGACAAGTGAATGTAATGTGACAACTGTATGTAAGGCATGATGCTGCACTTTCTGTTGCTGTAAAAAGACACTGGGAAATTGGCAAAATCTGAATATTTGATAATTGGAGTGTGGTAATACAAAAGAATAGAGAATGACTTTGTTTTTAAAGAGAGAATATAAAGGGGAGAGAGAACAAAGATGGAAATGATAAAAGGGTGAGAGGTAGAGAGCAGGTAGAGAGGGAGAGAGGGATGAAGTGAAGAAAAGAGACAAGAGAGAAAGGGAGAAAGATAAAAAAAGGAAGAGAAAGGGGAAAAGGAAGGAAAAAAGGAGAGGAGAGAAGGGAGGATGACAGGCAAGGATAAAGTAAATACAGGAAAATGTTAATATTTGGGAAATTTGGGTGAAGGATATTGTGTAGTAAAGGACCTGGCCTTGCCCAAAGAGACAAAGTGCCTTTGGCTTCAGCTTTGTGGATGCATTCTATGTCATACCTGATAGGAGTGTCTTTGTTTAGGGCAGGAGCTGGCTGCACTAAAAAAGACCTACCATGTAATTTAGGATGGGGACTTCAGTATTCTTAATCCATCTGCAACAATCACGCTGGCAATCAACTGATCATGTCTTCATATCGAAGCCACAATAAAAATTCAGGACACTAAAGCTCAAGTGAGTTTCTCTGATTGGCAATACTCTGTGCATATTGATGCCACGATGGTAATGCAACCTGAGGACAATAGAAACTTTGCTTTTAGAACCCTCATAGACTTTGCCCTAAGCATCCTCTTCCTTTGGCTGGTTATAATCTGTACCCTTTCCCTGTAATAAACTATAATGGGGAATATAATAGGTTTCAGTGAGTTCTGCAAGCAAATTTTTGAACCTGAATGTATTTGGCGAACCCTCCCCTGCAATCTCCAAACCTGCAGTTGGTGTCAGAAGTGAGAGTGGTCTTGTATGGGCTCTTTCCTCTAACTTTGTAGGCAAACCGTAATTCCTTGAAGTTGGGGTTAGATGTCTTGGGCTGACAGACAGTGCTCTCAACCTCACAATTTGGCTAAATCTGGGTAGGGATAGAGACATTATTTTTTAACTTTTCCTGTAGTAATTCTTCATAATTAAAATTTCAATTGAAATTAATTTCAATTTGACATAATTGGAATTATGTAAAAATAAAAATTTAAAAAAGGAGAAAAAAACAAATTTTGCATTTAATACAGCAAAAATAATTTTCTTTCTCTATGATCTCTTGAATTCTATTGCTCTAGTTATCTAAATTCTTAAGCTCTTGAAAAAGAAAAAAAAGACTTTCCAGAGCTTCTGAATTCCTGTTAGCCAGAAGGTTTTTTCTGTCATTAACAGCACTAATGCATAGAAGACAGAATTTAGTTAGTGTGACTTAGTTAACCAAGAACCTTAATTTCTCAGAGCAGCAAAAAGTGAAACATTTGATGGGATTTTTAAAATCCTGTTTTCCTTTTAAATAACAGTACTATGAAGTATAAAACAGTCCCTTCTTCAGTGAGTTATCTCATAACCTCTGCTCAGCTATCAGTACAAATTCTCCTTCAATCACATCTCCTTCAGAATTTGTTCTTATGAACTCCAATCTATGATTCCTCAAAAACTGTTTCTATGAGAACACATGCGAGAGAGCAAGCAAGGGAACCTGTTGTTGGTTCTCACTGCCCCCTGCTGCAGCAGGAACCCCAATAAAGCCCTGCCTGAAAAAAAAAATAAGAACACATGGTCAAGATATTACACATTCTTGATTTGACAGAAATTTTATATGCAGTAAAATACAAAACGCATTTTTGGTTGTGTTGCTACATTTAAACATGAATGTTGTCCAACTAAGTGAAGCATAATTCAGAAATCCAAAATTTTCCTGGGAACCTATTTTAAAACAGTTAAAAACTAAAAAATTACAAACAATTAAAACTATAACAAAAGTTAATATTTACTTATATAACTTATTATCTGTATACCCAAAATAAAAGTTATCATCTTAGTTTTGCTAAGAACAATTTTCAGCAAAAATGATCTATTTTAGATAGCTACAATTTCCTCATATTTTTCCATTATTATTTTAAAAGTAAAGTAAAGAAACAGAGCTAAACTAGTGAAATATACTTCATGATTAGCACAAATGAGAAAATCTGGGACAGCCAATATCTCAATATTCTTTTATAGAGGGAATAGTCTTGACATATTTAAAATTAATTTAAGTATGCACTTTATTTGTGGAAGCTTACACATAACTTGAACACACTTTAAAAAAAAAAGACAAAACCAAACTCATTTCTATGACCCATTCAAAGAGACTTATTCAAATACATATTTAATAATGGGCTGGTTAAAAAAAAAAGAAAGGTTAAAAAAAGAAAAACAAATTTTTGATAGAGAAGTTCACAAAAAAGTAATACTAATCAATCCTCAAAGGTAATTTTTTTCCCCTGAAACACAGCAATTTTGGATTGTTGTTCTTTTCGCCTCCGGCTTGCTTCCCATGAAGGATGAAGAGGCAGCTGTAATTTCTGTTTTGTATTTTCAGGTCCTCTTCGTGCAATCTTATTAAACTGATTATTGATCTGAGGTTCAATTTGCTGAAAATCTGGAGGAGAAAGCAAAATTAATGAAAACTAAGTCTACACATACATAGCATAGAAAACAAATACATTTTATCTTCTCAAATCAGTGTTTAAGGAAGAAATTTAGTTTTACTTAAATGGAATACCTCACAGTGCAAAATCTAAGTCCTACAGGGGAAGTTTGAAGTTGGAATACACATGAGCAGTCAATTTTGGGACACATGCTTTCTAATTGTTGTAAACAGATGTCTGTTGCATGCCTCCTAGTATATGCTGTGCTGTCTTATTTACACTGACATTAAGAAACACAGTCCAGACAACATATAAGGCAAAAAAATTTTAAAAGGAGGGACATTTTGTATTTTTAAAGGAATATGATTCATTATCATATGACACCTGTGTGTGGAGCAATGTAGCCAGAAAATTCACGTTTTAACTAAAATATTGAATCTAACAGTGTTGATGGGTAAGCTGTTTAAAGGGTTGTTAATTGATTCCACTCCCTTCTGTTATTGAACAAAAAGTTGTGATTGCAAGGTAAACTGCTGTATCTGCTCAAATTTAAGACTAAGTTCTTTTTAACCATAAAGTTATCCACCAGATATGAAGGTGGCAACTTGTATTCTAGTCCTTACAACCTCTTTTATTATGAGAAACTTCAATTATATTATTTTGAACAAAGTACTGGGAGACATGCTAGCCTGAAAAGACTGAATCAATGCATATTTATAGAATTAGAAAGAAAAAGAGAGGCAAAAAATTCAATACAGATTAATCAGTCCTAGGGATGTATAATTTCTCCACTGCAAGTTAGCCATCATTGTCAGAAGCCTTTTAAAGATCTTAAAAAAGCAAATGTCATAATGTTATAGAAGCAAGTGTACAGTTGGGATAACATTTCCAAAACATCACTGCACACAGATTCAAAACGTCCCATATCTTGTACAAATCACATGTGCTCTAGACATCTATAATACTCAAAGGATGCCTCTAGTGATAAAGAGTGATGAATTTAAATGTTAAATGAAATTGTTTCATGTAAACTGAAATTTGAATAAGGCAATATTTCTAAACTGATATATATTTTATATAATTATGTAAAGCATATTTGCATGAGCAAACAAATTGATAAATTAAGTATTATAAATTTATAAACTAAAAACAAAAACATGTTTTACTTGGGTTTCCTCAACGGGAAAATGTGGGAGTGTCTTAAATTTCTAGTTATTCTGTATTTGTGAATATAAGGCCATGTATTTGCCAAACCTAGTATTTTAATACAGCCATTAAAATAACATAAAAATTTGGCACAGGCTTTGCAGTTCAGTGGTAGGTAGTAAGGAAATGGATACCTGAGGCTGAAAAGTGAACATCCTATGTGTATGTTAAGGAAAAGATAAAACTGTTGCCAGTGAAAACTTGGGAAGTAGGCTACATGCCTATGGAATTGCAGCACAAGGGTAAGTGGCTGGAAAGAATAAAAAGATTAGTGTACTGATGGCTCTCTGGCAAAGTATTACAAAAAAAAAGAGAAGAGTTCAGGAAAGAACTGGCCAGCTCACAAGCAGAATCAAAAGGGAAGAGAGGGTTCAGATATTTGGGATCTTAAGGTTTAGAAAAGCCTTTGGACTCCTAATAGTAAGAGATAAGACTGAGAACGATTTTAAGCAGTAAAGGTTCAAAGAGATTTAGCTCTGGAGCAGAGGTAAGAGTAAAGGTATGGCCGTCTCAACCAAACCTGAGAATCTGAATGCAACAGACACTGAATGATTGGGACAGTGGTGGAGGGTGGGGGTGGGGAACGACCCACTAACATAAATAAGGCAAGTTTGAAAAATAGCTCTAGAAAAGAATTTTTGGTGTGGTGACTAGCTCATTGATGGACTGATTGGAAATAAAGAGGTCAGAAATCCAGTAAGTTTTGGAGGGAATTTTTATTGTGAAAGAAATCACAAACCTAGGCTGGAAAAAACCTGACTGTTAATAAGACTTTAAACCATCTTCATGATCATATATTTTTACTAATCACTTGGGGCAACTCCCAAGAAGATCATACTAACTGTCTACTTCAGCTGTAGCCACGGAACAAAGAGCCTCCCAAGAACACAGTCAGAGACCATGGAGAACAGTGGATAAGAAAATTCCTCATAGATTCTTCACAATCTTTGCTCAGGTAGTAGACATGTTGTACACCTCCCATGTTTCCCTTAACTGCTTGAGAGTTTTTATTGTGGTTACCTTGTTCCTGCTCTGCCACTAAATATCTGGTCTGAGTTGTGGGCAGGCAGTGTGTCTTTTTAGTGCACAGGTCACCAAATTTTGAGCAGTCACATCATGAGATCTGATGGAAAGCACTGCATCATTACTCAGGGATTCTAGGCTTTGAATTGGATACAATGACTGGATGGGACTTTGGGTTGGCTTTCTCAGGAAGGAAGCACATAGTGTGCTCTGTGCGTTGAGAAATTACCAGAGAAAATTACCAGTGAAATTACCATCTGATGATCAAAAGGATGGTCAGCAGCAGACAGTTATGTGTTCAAGAAATTCCACTTTCTTTTTCCACCCAGCCGCATAGTTAGACTGCATTTCTTAGCTCCCTTTTGGCTAGGATGGGGTCATGTAACTAAATTCTGGCTAATGAAATGTGAGCAGAACTGATCCCTAACACTTTCTGGCCTGGCCCATGAAAACTTCTTACAAAATTCTCCATGTACTCTATTCCCTTTTGTTGGTCAAATGGAGAATACCTGGGAACAGGAGTAGAAAGGAGCCAAAAGATGGAAGGAGCCTGATCCTTGAATGACTGTGAAACACAGCCCCTGTGCTGATTCATAGTAGACTGTAATGTGAGAAATAAATTTTTATTATTTTAAATCAATGAGAGTTTGGGATTATGTAGAGAAGTCAGACCACCCAAATATATTAAACTTGATTTGTTACGAATTAATCTGAAAAACTGGTTTCACTCTTAACCCTGGAAGTAACATACTTATTACTGAATGTTTAATGGCATGGCGTTGACTACGATGGAACTTACATATCAATTTACTTAAAGAATATGTTGATTAGTTCAAGATAAATTAAATAGACCCAATATTTCCTGATAACTTTTGTCTAGCATATTTCCTACTGGCAGGACATAGAGGGTAAAAAAAAAAAAAATTAAATTTAAAAATTATTCTGATAATTATAAGATGCTCTATTTCATTTCTGTGGGTACATAATTGATTCAGGCTACTAAGCAACCAGAATTTTTCATCTTTCCTCTTTGGCAAAGCATTGCTCAACTGCATATGGAAGTCAGGCAGTCATTAATACATACCTGGGGTTTTGCTTCTTGGAGCCTGTTCTCTGTAATTTCTAAAAGAAGAAAAACACCATTAGGACATTTAAAAGATAAACAAATCCTCTGACTTTAAGAAGATAACATAATAAAAATGTTGATAAAACTCATGAAAAAAAACTATCATACTCCTTTACCCCCCCAGAAATGAATAAAAAAATTATGAAAACCCCATGTTTTAGCTACATCAAAGGTTTGTTAGACCCCAATATTACTATAGAAAAATATAGGAATTTTCCTCTCACCACCTGTATAGGGATTTCTGGCCATAAAATATCCTGCCTTGGTTACCTTGTACCTTTGAGAACTATCTAGACAAAGAATTTCAAAAATCTTACAGGGGGAATGAGTCACATATAACAATCACATATAACAAAAATTAGGATCAACATTTTTTGGGGAGAGGGAGGGGATAGTGGTGCTTAATTTTCAAGTGAGGGAAAAATTGCAGCTTTTTTAGGCACAGTTGGGAGATATATGAAATAATGTAATAATTTTCAAGGCTCCAAAGATGGTCTGTATGTCTTTTCCATACTCTTTTTTGGAAAATTTCAACATCACATTTTTCTATTCTACTAAAAATTATGCCTGACCTATAAATTATAGAAAAAGTTTACTGAAGAAAATAGGTAACCATGATTTTTATTCTATAATGTGAAGATAACCCCTACCAGATTAGAATTACAAACGAAATTAAACATTGATTTATAACAAAACAACTATGAAAAGTAGTGATTAACAGAAGGGATAAGGATGACAGCATCACCAAATATAAAGCAGTCTGGAGAAACTCAGTGTTAGGACAAGCAGCCTTACCTACTGAAACAGAAATACATAATAAAACAACTGAGTTTTACAATAATGCCCTGGGTCAACAAGAGAAAAAAAAACCCACACAAAAAACACATTCTTTTCAGAAAGTTCTGTTTAAAAAGTGAGATATGTGAGAAATTTTCAAAAGTTTTCACCAAAAGCTAACTCAAAGTTTCAAAATTTTGATAATCAAAGGAATAAACTTAAATTAGCTAGACAATTAAATTAGACAAATTTATCTATATTGTCTCATTTTCTGCTGAGGTTGGAAAAATGTAGCATTATCATACGTGTATTTGTATATATTATCCAACATAAAGTTGGAGAGGGCCAAGTCTAAACACAGGATGTATTGTACAAACTAGAATTATGTATGAGAGATAGTATCTCAATGTTAGGATGTGTGGCTATTTCATATCTTTTGAAAAATTAAGAACTAATAATTCTTTCAGGATGAAAAAGTACCCTTACCTTCCAGAGCTTTTAGATCCAGATAAAGAATGGAAAAACACTGATTCAAACTTCCTTGCTTCTGTATGTGGCTTGTTTTTATCACTTCTCATATCCTGATGGGTTTCAAGTATATCTTCTTCAGGCAACCATTTTTTGGGGGGGTTTTGTTCCTTAACTGAAAAATGACAACTACTTTCCTTCCTCCGTGTCCGTTTGACTTTCCCAATGAAGAAGTCATCATCACTATCACTATCCTCAGACATGGAAGACTGTTTGTAAAACCTTTCTTCTGTGCTATCATCAAAATATTCCTTCTCTTCTTCATGTAATTCTTCTCCATCACTGGTAACACCAAGTGAGCTACTGGACTCTTTCTCTTTTTCGGTTTGACTAAGTGTTTTCATTTTGGGGTCAGTAGGTGTCTTCTGGGGTTCAGAGGGTACTGCAGAATCTTTTTCAGAAGGCTTTGATAGAGAATTTGGAATGTCCACTGTTTTGGGTCCATGCTCCACCTTGGCTATTTTTTCTTTTGAATTATTTATTGGTTTCTTTGCCAATATTTTGGCTTCTTTCTCTTCTTGCTCACTGATAATAGTTCCTTCATGCTGTAACTTACTGGCATCGTCATTTGAACACAAAGTGTCCTTGGAATGATTTTCTTCTGAAGCATTCTTTGATGACTTAACTTCAACAACATTTTGTCTTGCATCTTTAAAGGCTTTGACAGCAGCTGCAAGAGAAACAGCATATGACTTGTTTCAGCATTGAAACAAATAATACAAAACATTACTGTTTTAGTACAGTATTTCTTAAATTATTTGGAAATACTTAAGAGAATGATTGGAATTTATATTACATATATATAATGGGTATGAATTTACAAAGAAATCTATTGATTTTTACAAAACCAAACATATACAAAATGCTCAGACATATCCATTTTAAATCTCTAAAATTAAAAGAAAATTTATTCCTTCATGTATGGATGTTAAGAAGAACAGTAAAAACTTCACTAAATACAAATAAATAGACTAAAATGGCAACTTTAATTTCTGTAATAATAATGTATTAATACAATTGTAAATACCGTAAATTGTGCTTTCAGACATAAAAATAAGTATCTTCTAATCTGTGACAGAAGCATTTAATTCTTTTAATACATTTTTTTTGTGGTACGCAGGCTTCTCACTGTTGTGGTCTCTCCCGTTGTGGAGCACAGGCTCCAGACACGCAGGCTCAGTGGCCATGGCCCATGGGCCCGGCCACTCCGCGGCATGTGGGATCCTCCCGGACCAGGGCACGAACCCGTGTCACCTGCATCGGCAGGCGGACTCTCAACCACTGCGCCACCAGGGAAGCCCCTTTCAATACATTTTAAAATGTACATACATAAATAGAAATTATGTGACTAAGTGGCAACATCATAAGTAATAATACGAATTATACCAATATTTAGAAAATCAATTATATTCAATATTATCATGAATATATATTTTAGAAATTTAGGAAATAGGAATTTAGAAAAAATACAAAATTTTTTCAGACATCAGATAACTTCCATATTTTCAGGTAGCTTCCCACATTTGGAAATATTTGAAAGAGACATTTATAATATAAAAGATCCTCAAAAGGAGAAAAGCACCCTAAAAGTAAAGAAATGAATGGCCGTTTATTCAAATCATGTACCATAAATGGCTTAAAAGTCATTTAATTCATACCTTTTAGCACATCTATTTTTTTCTTCAGAAGAGGGTGCACTGCTAGTCTGGCAACTGCTCTTTCAGTTGCGGTAGAATCAGGCTGCAAATTGAAATAACAAGCACATGCAAATAAAAACTATGTAACACTACTAAGAAGTGAATAAAATGCAATCCATTATAATTTTTAAAAGTTAAGAGTTAAGGAACAGAAATCTGTTAATATTCTAATTAGACAACTCACCTGTAATCCATGCTAAAGATAACACAGTGACAAAAATACTACTGTTCTTAACAGTTAAAATTATCATGTAATCAATGAATAAATATTCTTTGGGTACTTAATATCTTTCCAGAATTGTGGTAGGCATCATGTGTGATATTAAAAAAAAAAAAAGTAATATATCTCCTCTATTCAAAGAGTTTAAAAGATCTAGTTAAGAAGACTAAAATAATATGAAAGAATCAAGTAACATATTAGTACTAAGCTGGGTGATATAATCCATGACTACTATAATGCTTGAAGTTCCATTTACTAGAGACCTAAAAATTATCAAATGCTATATATTTTTATTTTGAATGACTAGTACATTACTGTATTCTCACAACCTTCCACCAGTGCCTGGCTTATAGCCAACACTTTATAGATGTTTGATGATGACTGAATGGGACTATATACATATATATATATATATATATATATATATACACACACATACATATATTAGTATTTATACATTTAGAAAATTCATAATTCAGACTGCTTTAAATATCACCTGTAGGCTGAAAACTTCCAAATGTCTACCTCAAGCTATAACTTGAGTTCCAGACTCACATATCCAACCACCTACTTGACATGTTAAAAGAGAATGCTGTGACTTCTTAAACCTACTTCTGCTATAGTCTTTCCCATCTTATTGTAGGTAATTTTAATTTTTCTGGTTGCTCAGGCCTAAAACTCAAATGATTCTTCCATTACATTTCTCCTCTCTTCACAGCTCACAATAAATCCTTCAGCAAATCCTGTGGTTTCATCTGCAAAATCTATCCAGAACCAGTCACTTACACCATTTCTACTTACTACCTTTGACCAAATCACCAATACCTCTCACCTGGACCAATGTAATAAGCTCACACCTGGTCATTCTCCATTGCCTCTTGTTCTCTCACAGTCAATTTCCATACAGCAGTCACAGCAAGCTTTTAAACAAAACCAGATCATGCTATTTCCCTATCTGTTCTTTTTAAAGCTTTACTGCCTTCTGATGCTTAGGCTCTTCCTTTGCAAGCTCTTCTCTACTGGGAACACTCTACTCCCAAATACACATGGGCTGATCATCTCATTGTATTCAGGTCTCTGCTCAAATGTTATCTGAACTAAAACACTTTCCATCACTATTTACTTCACATCACTCAACACAGCACACCAGTGCAGATATTTTCATATCTGTGAGGCAGGGACTTTTGTCTTCCACATTCCTGTAGACCTAGTGCCTAGGACAATAACTGATAATAGCTGGCATTCAATAAATATTCCATGAAGCAAGTAAAAATTTCACTAGTGTGTGAAAGTAGAGCTATCAGCTTTAAACATCTTTACTTTAAATTTCCCCTTCATTGTTAACAGCCCAATAAGGCCTTTTCCTTCCCAGTAATAAACACTTATGAGTACCTAAGTAAAAGCAAGATTATAACAGTTTGAAATCTATTGTTTGGAGAACTTATCTAGGTAGAGTCCCTCAGAGAACAATTCCTTTAAATTAGACCTGGTGCAAATCCTGTGCCAGGATGACTTGCTGCCTAACCACCTTCTGTCCTGGGTCACATGGTATCCTCCCCGAATTCTATATCCAACTAGAAACTGAGAATGTGATCCTACTTGGAAACAAGATCATTGCAGATATAATTAATTAAGAGGAGAGCATATTGGTTTAGGGTGGGCCCTAAATCTAGTATGACTGGTGTCTTTATAAGGAGGACACTTGGATACAGAGGCACAGGGAGACAGAAAGGGAACAACACTGAGGCAAAGGCTGGAATTACCCTGCCACAAGCCAAATTGGAAGAAGCAAGGAAGGGGTCTTCCCTAGAACCTTCTGAGGAAGTACAGCCCTACTGATGCCTTGATTTCAGATTTCTAGTCTCCTGAAATGCAAGAAAATATTATAAATTTCTGTTGTTATATACCATTATAAATATCTGTTGTTATATACCAAAGTACCATTTGGTACTTTGTTTCAGCAACCTTAGGGAAACTAATACACCTTGATTCTGACTCTTAGACACTGTCTCTGTTCAGCCTTCTCCAAGAAATATAGTCCATTTGGAGACTATTCATTAAGTACAGTGTTAAGCCAATCCTGTTTCTTCAACTGCTTGCTGGGTTTCCTTTTTTATCCCCTCTTTTTGGTAACGATAAGTTTGTTTTCTATGTCTGTGTGTTTGTTTGTAAATAAGTTCATTTGTATCATTTTTTAAGATTCCACACATAAGTGATATCATTTGATATTTATCCTTCTCTGACTACTTAATACGATAATCTCTAGGCCCATCCATGTTACTGAAAATGGCATTATTTCATTCTCTTTATGGCTGAGTAATATTCCATCGTGTGTGTGTGTGTGTGTGTGTGTGTGCGCGCGCGTGCGCGTGCGTATCACATCTTCTTTACCCATTCATCTGTCAATGGACATTTAGGATGCTTCCATGTCTTGGCTATTGTAAATAGTGCTGTTATGAACACTGGGGTGCATGTATCTTTTCAGATTAGAATTTTCCCTGGATATATGCCCAGGAGTGAGATTGCAGGATCATATGATAACTCTGTTTTCAGTTTTTTGTTTTGTTTGTTTTTTTACTTTTAAGAAACCTTTACTGCTTATTCAAATGATAAATAACAACTCAGTACTTTAAGTTGTCCAAGCAGATTATTCCTCTATAAAATAATGAATGAGCAAAAAAGAGAATATTCAGAAAGATATGCTCATTTCCCTAGAATGTTCAATAGGCAACATACTGTGTTCTTTCAGCTTAAAAGGTTCTAACTATATTGTATTCCACACAGCATAGGTGACCTATGCTGTGTGTTTTTAGTTTTTTAAGGAAGCTCTACACGTTCTCCACAGTGGCTACAACAATTTACATTCCCACCAACAGTGTAGGAGGGTTCCTTTTTCTCCACACCTCTCCAGCATTTATTATTTGTTGACTTTTTGATGATGGCCATCCTGACTGGTGTGAGGTGATACCCCATTGTAGTTTTGATTTTCATTTCTCTAATAATTAGCAATACTGAGCATCTTTTCATGTACTTGTTGGCCACCTGCCTGTCTTCTTTGGAGAAATGTCTACTTAGGTCTTCTGCCCATTTTTTAATTGGGTTATTTTTTTTTTGATATTAAGCTGTATGACCTATTTGTATATTTTGGAAATTAACCCCTTGTTAGTTAATTAACCACACTGTTTGCAAATATTTTCTCCCAGTCAGTAGGTTGTCTTTTAATTTTGTTTATGGTCTCCTTTGCTGTGTAAAAGCTTTTAAGTTTAATTAGGTCCCATTTGTTTATTTTTATTACTCTAGGAGACAGATCCACAAAATTATTAGTGATTTACATCAAAGAGTGTTCTGCCTATGTTTTCCTCTAGGAGTTTTATAGTATCTGGTCTTACATTTAGGTCTTTAATCCATTTTGAGTTTATTTTTGTATAGAGTGTTAGAGAATGATATAATTTCAGTCTTTTACATGAGGCTGTCCAGCTTTCCCAACACTACTTACTGAAAGAGACTGTCTTTTCTCCATTGTATATTCCTGCCTCCTTTGTCACAAATTAATTGACCATAAGTGCATGGGTTTATTTCTGGGCTTTCTATACTGTTCCATTGATCTATATGTCTGTTTTGGTACTGGTACTATACTGTTTCGATTACTGTTGCTTTGTAGTATAGTCTGAAGTCAGGGAGCTTGATTCCTCCAGCTCCATTCTTCTTTCTCAAGATTGTTTTGGCTATTCAGGGTCTCTTGTGTTTCCATACAAATTAAAAATTTTTTTGTTCTAGTTCTGTGAAAAATGCCATTAGTAATTTGATAGGGATTACACTGAATCTATAGATTGCGTTGGGTAGTACGGTCATTTTGACAATACTGATTATTCCAATCCAAAAACATGGTATATCTCTGCTTCTTCAACTCCTTGCTGGGTTTCCTGAAGTAATATAGGACTTCCTACTCATATTATCTACCTAGGAGAAACATCAGAGAATATGGCAAGAAAGTCTATTGCTGGTATTCTGTGTTACTCAGTGGCCGGCTGGGCTGCTGAAAGTATGGGTCAAACACACTGGCTTGAGTTTTGTAGAAAAGCTATTAACACAGAAACCTCAATGAAGAACATGCTTTTTCAGGCTGAAAAGGCTATTGTAAATAGTGCTGTGACTGTAAATCACAATGCTGGGGTCTACAACTTTCAGAAGAAAAAATAAAATCACACATACAAAATTCAAGAATCAGAATTAGAGGTCAGGACAATAAATTTGTAGGAAAATGATTTCCAAACTAGAGAAGAATAAAAATACTTTCAGACATGGAAGTTTTTAAAAGTTTACATTCTTTGAACCTTTCTCCCTAGAAGCTACTGGCTCCACTAAAATGAGGAAGGAAACAAAGAATGAGGTAGGCATGGGATAAAAGAAACAGGAGATCCAGGCAAAAGGAATGCCCAGTATGGTAACAGGAGATTTAGATTTACATTTACAATACCTCGTGTTATTAACTATCTTGAGATTTCAATAACTGATAAGGAGTTTGATGTTACATAGAGAGTACACAGAAAACAACAAAATAAACATAATAATTACAAACTATAAGTAAAAATATTACAGAAAAAGAAAAGTAATCATCACTCACTACATGACTCACAGCCAAAATAACATAATCACTAAATGTTCATCTCATCTAAATCTAACCCAAGTATATTAGGAAGACAGAAGGGATAAGGAGGGTACATATACGACACAGGGGCTGAAGGAGGAAAGAGATCTAAATCCTTATAAACCACCGCAGGAAGTCGCTAATGCTTCAAATGTACAAATATAAACATACTTAT